GGGGGGGGGGGGTGGTTGGGGAGGTTTTGGGAGCACTGGGGGTCTGGCTGCTCCCCCTCAAGCCCGGCACCTGGAGCAGTGGGTTCGGCGATGCCCGCTTGTGGCAGCGGGAAGGTGCAGAGTTAACGGCAGCGTTTGGATGTGCTGGCAGCCTTGTTCGTGTCTGGATCTGGCCCAAGCGGAGGCCTAGCAGAGGGGATAAATCATCACCCAGCGCTCGCCCTGTGCTTCCCTTTCTTCCCCCGCATGGCTGAGCCTCCTTGCTCTGGTCTCCACTGGCTGGCGCCCTGCCTCAGTTTCCCCGCCAGGCTGGGTGCTGCAGGTGGGGTGGCCAAGACATGTGCCTCACGCCCTGGGCCAGCCTTAGGTTCTTGGCCCCCCCAGCACTGCTGGTAGCCAGCGCGTGGCCTGGGATGAACCTGCCAGGTTTATTTGGTGGCTTGGACAGGCAGGGCAGTGTCTCAGGAGCCTGAAGGTGCTGGCGCCTGCACCTCACCATGGCATCCTTCCCCTGCATGCTGGGGAGGCTGCTGTCCCCCATGTCTCCCTGCCCTGGCAGTGCTGTGGGAAGACTTGCCTGGTCCCCAGGGTCGTCGATGCCCTGGGAGCACAAAGACTGGCATGTTCCCTGATCACCCCGCAGGCACCCAAGGCACTGGGGTGATGGGGCAGCAGCATCCTCCCCAGGTTGGGGACCGTGCTGCATCCCAGCCAGCCCTCACCTCGGGCTGGGTGGCATTGTCCCTTGGCAGGATGTGGCCCCAATGTGAAAACAGGGACCCCAGCCCCGCAGGTCGGTGGGGGGTGGCGGGGGACCCTGCCCAGGCTGCCAGCTTGCCCCAGAAAGCCACCCTGTGCCGTTTCCCAGCGGGGCGGGGAGGACTGGTGCTTGCACAGAGGCGGCTTTGTGCGGCGTGCCAAGGCGTCCCGCGCTCGGCAGCCCGGCTGCCTTCCCCTGCCAAGGAGCTGTCTCCCAGCCCCGCGCTCTTTCCTGCTCCGTTTGTCCGGCCCTGACGTGCCCCCAAGCCCCCTGCCTTGGCACCCCAGCAGTGCCAGCCCCGGGTGGTGGGATGTGGGTGAGCCCTTCACGTTGGGCAGCACCTCAGGCTTTATGTAACGGGAGTGGCTGGGAGGTCCCCGAGCTCCCCACCTTGTCCCCAGCTGCCCTCCCAAACACCCCAGCTTGTCTGTTGGTGCCTGTCTCCAGGAGAGGAAACTGAGGCACAAGCTGAGAGCTGCGGGCAGCGCAGTGGAGGTGGGCAGGCATCGTGGATGGAGGCTCTGGGGCTGGGCTGGCACTGTGCTGTGGGCAAGGGAGTGGAGCAGTCCCATGGGGTGGGCTGCGGGACAGCTGGTCACATCAGAGGACAGTCCCCCCTGGGGACCCTCGTGGGGCTGTTGGAGCTGGGGCGAGCTGCACAGAGCCTTGTGTGTTGAGTGGACAGAAGGGAGAAGTCCAGCTGTGGTGGTGCCCGGCTGGGCATCCCTGTCATCCCCGGGTGTCTGTCCCTGCGTTGCCACCAGCACTGATGGTCTCAACATCCAGACTCCAGCATCCCCGGTGGATGCAGGACTTGTGGGACCCCAAGCCAGCCCCTCTGGTGCTCCTGCCCAGAGCCGGACCTCTGTTGTTCCCCTCATGCAGAGCCCAAGGAGAGCCCACAGCGAGCCCAACCACCTCCCCACCATGGACGCCACAGACGTGCCCCTCCAGGCTGAGATGGTGGAACTGGTGCCCAACGGGAAGCATGTGGCTGCACTCACCACCTCCACCGTCCCCTCGCTGGCAGGTGACAGGTAGGGGCCCTGGGACAAGCTGGGGTGCCAGGGTCTTGGGAAGTCCTCTTGGCTGCTCCCGGCTCTTGTGTGACGTGGTGGCTTCTGGCTCTGCTTTGGCCCCATCCCCCTCCCTCCGGTGGCCAGGTTTGAGGAGAACCAGTCTGGCACAGCAGAGATGGAGGAGTTCCTGCCCCACGGCGCCGAAAAGAAACAGACACACTTCACTGACGTGAGTATCGTCACAGGCACCATGGTGGTGGTGGGATGGGGTTTGTTACTGGTATGACCAGTGCGCCCCCTCCCCATTATGTTCCATGCAGTTTGAAGGGAAGACGTCTTTCGGGATGTCTGTCTTCAACCTGAGCAATGCCATCATGGGCAGCGGCATCCTGGGGCTGGCCTACGCCATGGCCAACACCGGCATCATCCTCTTCCTGTGAGTGCCACGCGGTCACGGGGACTTGGGTAGGAGGATCTGGGTGTGGGGGCTCCTCCAAGGGGGTTGCTGGGGGGCAGGTGAGAAGGTGGTCCCTGGCTTGGGGTGATGCAGGGACTGGTGTCCTGTTGCCTGAACAATGTTCAGCCCTGGCATGAGTCGGCCTGCCCCTGTGGGTTGCTGTGTCCTACTGGGGAGGAGGATGAAGGCTTGACTTCCTTAATACAAGACCAGATTTCCCCACGTGACCCAAAGTATGTGGGTGCTAGCTCCAACTGGGCATGCGGACATGGACCACAGGGCTGGGGCAGCCCCATGGCTGTGGGGTGCCTGCACCCTGAGGCCCATCCACCCCATCAGCACCCAGCTGGAGCCAAGGCAAGGGGCTGGGTGCCCTGCCAGGACAGCTGCCTGCAGGCAGAGCCAGCCACCATGGGATTTGCCCCTGGCTGTGTCTGAGCCCGGTGCTGTGACCCACTGGTGACAGTGCTGTCCTCCCACAGGTTTCTCCTGACGGCGGTGGCCCTGCTCTCCAGCTACTCCATCCACCTGCTGCTCAAGTCCTCAGGCATTGTGGGTGAGTGCGGGGTCCCTGGTGGGGCTGTGCCTGAGGGTGCCCTCCTGACCCTCACCCCACCACTGCTTCCTGTCCCACAGGCATCCGCGCCTACGAGCAGCTGGGCTACCGAGCCTTTGGCACGCCGGGGAAGCTGGCTGCAGCCATCGCTATCACCCTGCAAAACATTGGAGGTGAGGACAGGACTAGAGGGGGACCTGGTGGGGCTGGTGGTAAGGGACAGGACCGGAGCACACTGACACAGCATGATCTCGCTCTGCCCTCCAGCCATGTCCAGCTACCTGTACATCGTCAAATCCGAAGTGCCTCTCGTCATCCAGACCTTCCTCAACCTGGAGGAGAAGACCACGTGAGTGCCTCCTGCCTGCGCTGCCTGCACGCCTTCCCCCAGGCAGGCGCCAGGGCTTCGGCTCCAGCTGTGCAGCCTATGGCAGGGATTTACTGCCATTAAGCCACTACTATTTTTGATAACTGTCAGTGCTGAATAAGCCCCTGGATGGGATTAAACTGGGTTGAACTTCCAATCCCTGCTCTTCATATTGCCTTGGGATCAGGCTTACCTACTTGAGCAGAGCCTGGGGCTGCGGGGTGGGGGACAGGAGCTCTGGTTGGGAACGGGTTTCCCCCATCCCATGCCTGCATCCCCACCCAGTGGCACAGGGGGTGAGAGCTGGGCAGAGCTGCCACTGGGACTTCCACCAGGCTGGGACTGGGTGTTCCAGCCAGGCTTGACCCTGGAGGCTCTGGGCTTCTCGACTGCACATGGGACCAGGGCTGGGCAGGGGTCCTGCCCTGTGGGTGGCTGGGGGCAGCTCCCTCTGCCTGGGGTTGTTGAAGACCTGGCTGAGGCCCCTTTCAGGTGCTGGTACCCCAGGCTGCCCACAGGCAAATGTGCTGAGAACAGCAGTTCTCAGCTTGCCCACAGCAGCTTTAGCCCTTGGGGGTGCACCACTATGGGGGAAGGCAGGACCTCAGCATAAGGGCCTCAAGGAACACTGGCTTCAGAGGTTCCCAGGGGGTCCCTGGGAATGTGAGTGCAGCAGGGGTGCCAGCCGCAGGGGATGCCAGTGTCCCCAGGGCTGCCAGCGCCAGGGTCCCCACGGACAACAGACAACCCCCTGCCGATGGCTGCCTGTGCCTCCTGTGCCCTGGCAGAGTGGGGCGGTGAGCAGGCCCTCTGCTTCCAGGGACTGGTACATGAACGGGAACTACCTGGTGATCCTGGTTTCCGTCACCATTATCCTGCCTCTGGCCCTCATGAAGCAGCTGGGTAAGTCAGGGGGATGCTGCCTGCAGCACCAGGCTCTGGCAACCTGGGGCTCCTGTGGGGTGA